GCCATCATAGTATCCGATTTCATTATTTTCTGTCTAGATACTCTTCAATTTAGAGTGAAAAATTCCTATAACTTTACACTTAAGCATATAAATGCAAAATCGAGTGTTGCTAAATTAATTAAACTTATTGTAAGTAACAATAATATATATATATATAAAGCAATACAAAAATACAAAGATAAAAAATATGCAAAATCTAATTGTTAATATTCATCAACTTACTGGGGACTTATTTATATGATACACGTTTATTATGACTTCGCCTGAGGCCTTGGATGTCGTTCTTGGTGAAGCAGCAAAGTTCCACAAACCCGGGGAGAATTTTACTGCGCCTGGATATGTAACCACTGCTAACACCAAAAGATTACTTAAGCAACATCTTAAAATCACTGGTGGCAAAGTTGTGACCAGATTTCCGCCCGAGCCGAATGGCGTTCTGCATATAGGCCATGCAAAAGCGATCAATTTTAACTTTGGCTATGCCAAGGCAAATTTTTAACTTAATTAATTAGACTTAGAAGCACGATGGCGTAACTTATTTGAGATACGATGATACTAATCCTGAAAAGGAGGAAGAGAGGTTCTTCACAGCCATTAAAGAAATGGTCGAGTGGCTAGGTGTGCTTTATCTCGGCTTTATTACTTGACAGGGTTCAAACCGTACAAAATCACCTACGCATCTGACTACTTTGTGGAACTCTATGAATTGGCCCTCAAGCTAGTTCGACTGGGTCTTGCCTATGTTTGTCACCAAAAACCTGAGGAGCTTAAGGGGTTTAATGTTCTCCCATCTCCATGGCGTGACAGACCTATGGAGGAGTCGCTTCGATTATTCGAGGATATGCGCAAGGGAAAGGTACTTATAGATGTCGCTGATTTCTAGATACAAGAAGGAATAGCTACCTTGCGAATGAAATTTATTATGGACGATGGAAAGCAAGATCCCGTGGCCTATCGCATCAAAATGACTCCCCATCATAGAACAGGGAATAAATGGTATATAATTTACTCATTTAATTGTATAGGTGCATCTACCCTACTTATGACTTCACTCATTGTTTGTGCGACTCAATTGAAAATATCACTCATTCTCTATGCACAAAGGAATTTCAAAATAGGTGGGTTTAAAACAATTATTTGCATCGACCTTAATCAAGATCGAGTAATTCTTGCCTTTTACTTAAATATGTAGGCGATCTGCTTATTATTGGCTTTGCAATGTACTTGGTGTCTATTGTCCAGTCCAATGGGAGTATGGCCGTCTAAACTTTAACTATACTGTTGTCTCAAAGAGGAAGATTCTTCGTCTTATTCAAGAAGGAATTGTCAGCGATTGGGACGATCCTCGTCTATTTACATTAACTGCACTTCGGCGTCGCGGGTTTCCCCCAGAGGCTATCAATGCTTTTTGCGAGAAGATTGGTGTCACAACTGCCCAGACAACTTTGGATCCTAGTACACTTGAATCTTTCGTTCGTGTCAAGCTCAATGAGCAAGCACCTCGTGTAATGGCCATACTTAATCCTCTTCATTTACATATAGGAAATTGGGCTGAGCTATATCCTGATAGCTCTG